TCTCTGAAGAAGATCAAGCAATCTACTTGCTTAACAGTCTGCCTAAAGCGTTTGAGCAGATAGTTCACTTTCTACAATACGGGAAGGGAAGAGACACTATCACTGTTGAAGAAGTAATTGAATCTACATATATACTCTAAGGAAGCTGTACAGATAAGTGAGGCCAAGACAGCATCTGAAGGTCTATTCGTGCCAAAGAGGAAGGTCTGAAAGGAGGTCTAATAGTTGCTATGCAAAAGGCAGATCAAAGAGCAGAGGAAAATCTCAGATAAGGTTTAAAAAGAAGTGATATTTCTCATGTGGTAAAGAAAGAAAATGGAAGAGAGATTGCCCAGGCCGTTAAGGCCATAAGATGGAGAATTCTGCCAACGTAGTTACAGAATTCAAAGAGCTGTTAATACTCATTGCAAACATTCAACATGTTAAGGATGAATGAGTGCTGGATTCATGAGCTAGTTTTCACTTTACTCCAAAAAAAAAAGAATTTCTATTTGACTTAGAAAAGTTCAAGGGGGGTAAGATATTGATGGGAAACAATACTCAGTGTAATGTGGGAAGATAAAAACTCTGAATCTAGACGGTTCAGTTATTATTCTCTCAGAAATCAGGTATATGCCATCTATGAGTCAAAATTTGATCTCACATGGGTTTTGGACAGAGCTGGATGTCATTACTAAGGAAATGAAGGAGTGTTTCAGTTCTATAAAGGAGATCAGAAGGTCCTTGCTGGAAAATACAAGGATGGTTTGTATTACTTGGATGGAATAATTTCTAAATCAGAAATTGTAATAGCTACGCTCGACACTGATTTGACAAAAGTATGGTATTCTAGACTTGGTCACATGAGTCAGAAGAATATTGATGTTTTGATAAAAAAATGATACCTATCTAAGAAGGATATTTAGACTTTGAGTTTTTGTGAGAGTTGTGTTTCTGGAAGGCTCATAAACTAAGCTTTCCAAAAGGAAAACACATGTAAAAGGAGACACTTGAGTATATACACTATGATCTGTGGGGATCACCATCAGTAACACCAAACTTAGCAGGTTGTCAGTATTTCATCACCTTCATTGACAACTATTGACGGAAGGTGTGGATTTTCTTCTTAAAAACTAAGGATGAAATGTTCCAGAGGTTTATGGAATGAAAGATAAGTGTTGAGAATCAAACCAAGAAAAGTATTAAGTACTTAAGGACTGACAATGAGTTAGGGTATTGTAGCTTACAATTCGACATTCTATTCAAGGAGGCTGGTATTAAGTGACATGATACATGCACCTACACACCAAAACAAAATGCTGTGTCTGAGAGAATGAACATAACCATTATGGAGAAAGTTAGGTGTATGTTGCCTGAAAGCGGGAATGACATATTTTGGGCTAATGCTACATCTACTGCCGTATATTTGATCAACATATCACCAAATTCCTCAATGAATTTTAGATTGCCTGAAAAAATTGGTCTAGAGTTAAACCTGATTTGTGCAATTTGAAAAGGTTTGGATGTACAACCTATGTACATGTTACAAAAAGCAAGACAAGTCCTAGAGCAGTGAAAGGCAGCTTTATGGGTTTTCCTCAAGGTACTAAAGAGTTTAGAATCTGGTTTCCTAAAGAAGGAAGATGTACCATAAGTCAGAATGTGATATTTAATGAAGACGAGTTTTTCAAAGACTTGAAAGATACAATTCAGGTAAGCAGAAAACAAGATGAAGAAAATCCAGGGAAGAGGGTTAACTGAGTTACATTCAGTCCATAATTAATTCAAAGACCTTCATGAAGTCTCATAACTATGGGAAATCCAGCTCAAAGTGGAGTAACTTCGAATATTGGAGATGAGTCAGACTCTGAACCTAAAAAAAAAAAAGCTTCAATGACTCAGGAAGAGCAAGTTGATTTTCAAAATTATGTTCTAGCCAGAGACAGGATTCAAAGAGACATCAAACTACTATCCAAGTTTGATGCTTATGACTTGGTCGCTTATGCTTTAGCTGCTACATCTAGATTTTGATGAGCCTAAGGCTATTGAAGAGGCAAGGAGATCTAACTACTGGAAACAATGGCTAAATTCTAGGCAAGACTGGTACATGTTTGGTAGTTAAGAAGCCATAGAAGAAAAATGTCACCGGATGTAAGTAGGTTTTCAAGTTCAAAGAGAGAATACCAGGCGTAGAAGAACCTAGAGTTAAAGTTAGACTTGTTTCACGAGGGTTCTCACAAATAGAAGGTATTGATTATAAAAATGTGTTTACACCAGTAATGAAACATGTTCCGATTAGAATCATGCTTTCATTGGTAGCAAATGAAGATTTCGAGCTTGAACAACTAGACGTGAAGACTGCCTTCTTGAATGGAGAGTTAGAGGAAAAGATATTCATGAGTCAGCCAGAGAGTTTCGCTGTAAAAGGAAAGGAAGAGAAGGTGTGCATATTGAAGAAAACTTTATATGGCTTGAAACAGTGTCCGAGACAGTGGAAAAAGAAATTTGATGAATGCATGAAATCAAGGATTTCGAAGTAGCTAATAAGACCTTTTCATCTACGTCAAAGATTCTCAAGGAGATGTTATTGTTGAAAAAGATACATACATCTAAGAATCCATCAGATATTTTGACGAAGAACTTACCATAAGTTCCAGAGATGCCTAGAACTTCTGATAATCGTCTGCGGAGATTGTGATCTCTGGAGGTTCTGTTTTGTTAACATTTTGAGGACCTCGCAGATAAGGACATAAGAAAATCATCATATCATAATTGTTGATCGAGAAATCAAAAGAACATAGGGTTGAGTTAGTTTGTATTCATCTTTGAAGAAAATAAGCCAAAGCTAATCAACAAGATTCATGGGCATTATTATGAAGAGCTCTACACAATGTATGCAGTTCTTTAACTAGGTTGATACTCTAGTGGATACATTTATGATTATGCAAAAAAAGAAAATAAGTAAGTGGAGGTTGGACCTATTACAGTTACGGAGTTCTCTAACGGAATCTAAGAAAGAAAGGCAGGTAATATCTCTAACAAAATGCTTTACCTATCGGTTTGTCAAAAAGATTGGAGTTTAGTCATAGAGTATTAGTTTGGCTGAGAGGTTCTCCTGACGCATGCTTAAACAAGAAGAACCTGTGTTAGTTCAAAACAAAGAATCAGAAGTCAAAGCTAAATATCGATGTCATAAGACATGTCTTGCTTGGACCGATTGAAGATATATACATATATGGTTCAACGGCTGAGTTTTTTCTCAGATTCGACCGGAGAAGACAACCTTGAACACATCCCAGTTGGTTTGTAACGGCAATTGAATGGATGTATAGGAGTGAGCTATCCCTTGGTGCTTGGATTCAAGATCGGATTCATGCATGTAAGAAACAAGTAGATATAAAGTCAGAATTGTAAATTGAAAGATACTTGGAAGGCTCTTGAGCTGTTCTTACCTGAGCTTCACTAGAACAAAAAGGAAAAGGAGAAGGATTATAGTAGCCGATCAGAGAACGAAGCTGGTTCTCCAACTGATTTAGATAGGAGAGATTGACAAAAGACCATCAACGAAGATATCAGAGTCTGTCTGAAGATCGCAAGAGAGAGAAGCTGATTGTGTTCTTTTCTCGGTTAGGGTTTGGTGAGTCGAAGTGGAGATTGTGAACTAAGTGACTCGGCTCAAACCCATAAAAGCCGGCCATTATCAAGCATGAAGGGATCAGGAGCACAAGAATGAAGCGATGGGCCTGGAGTGCACAAAATCCCATCTGCAAGAAAGTCAGTGAAACATGAGATATAAGTATGTATGTAGCTCTTAGGGTTCTCTCTACGTTTGATTCTTATGGTATTGGCTGATGTTCTATCTTAAGGTTGTGCTTGAACACCTAAGATTAAGAGATAGTAGAGAGAGATTCATTGGTGCTTGTAAACTTCTATTTGATTCTAGTGAATTTTGTGGGCAAGAAAACCCATATGAGACGTACTGGTCAAGGCCATGAACTAGTTAAATTGCTTGTGTTCTAGACAAAGTTAATCTGATAAGCTCATACGATCAATCTATATCCTTCACAGTGTATCAGTTAGTTAGAGAAGAGTTACGAAATGTTTAAATCACATACACATAATATTTATATTTTACATAATACTATTTCATATTAAATTTTTGATTTAAATATTAAAATATTAATAATTTTATGTAGCAGTAGTAATGTATATTTAAATATTTTATCAAAATATATTTATAAATATTAAATTGATATAAAATAATATTAGTAGAATGAATGTAAGTTATATAATTGTAAGGATGAAAATTAAAAGTAAATAATATTTTAAAATTTTAAATAGTGAAATTTTAATTTTGAGATTTTACTATTTATGCCTTTAAAATTTGAGGGTTTAAAGATTTGTTAAAGATCCAAAATCTCCGAAATTTAAGGGTCTTAAGACCTAATAAAGATGGTCTTACTAAGTTACTAATATAGTTTGCCTCAATAATAATCTTAAATAATCGTGAAGACAACATTTTCATATATAAACTTAATCGGACCAATATTTTAGTATGATCAACAAAAAAAATGATACTCTCTTTATTTATTTTTGTTTTTTAAAGTTTTCACACATTTTAAAACAATGTAAATTCTGATTATAAATATATAGTTTGTGTGAATAACTATTTTCCACAGTTTTAACAAAACATTAATATATGTTTTTTATTTTTTTAAAAAATTTACCATTCTTATCTACTAAAAAAGAATAATATATAAAAATACGATGCAAAAATGTGTGTGTTTTGAACAATTTTTAAACATTTTTTTTGTATCTGATTAAAATGGAGGTAGTATATAAACCAATTAATTTATGATACTATTTTATTTTGTTTCCCATTCACGTCACTCAAGAAAAAAGTTAATTCCTTGGCAAAAAAGATAAAAAGATGCTATTTATATTCCTTAGGTTTAATTATTATTTTAAGAAAATTATGTTTGTAAACGTCTATATAAAGATAAGCAGTCCATAGCTTTACAGACAGACAAACTCATGTTTCTTACACAAAAGCAACTCGTCCCAAACAGCAAATCCATGGCTCCTATGGTGCAACCTCTTCCTACAAGGTTATAAAATATGCAAAAAATGATAGTAGTCTGCATTAGCTTATGTAAGTCTGATCATATGATATTATGATGTTGATGATAATCATTTCTTCTAACAGTTTATCGGATGAGAAATACGCGAATGTGAAGTGGGAAGAATTAGGATTCGGATTTTATCGTACGGACAACATGTATGTTGCAAAGTGCAAGCATGGAGAGAGTTTCCAAGAGGGAAGTATTGTTCCTTACGCTGATTTTCAGATCAGCCCTTGCTCTGCTGTTCTTAATTATGGCCAGGTTTGCTATTGTTCAATAGAGATCAGTTAATTAAGAAAATTTGTAATCAGAACATATAATCACCCCCACATATAAATTTAATAAAGTTTTGGTACTGCATGTATATTTTAGCTATTAGTTAGACTTAAGAATTTTAAAACGAGCATAATACATAGTCTACAAAAATCAAACGAAATCGTTTGAAAGTGTTGATATGATGATTTTGCTATCAATCTATTGTGACTTAGTACGTATTTGTGTAGTTTTATAGATACCTATGCAAAACAATTCTCAAGTAATTGTTTGATCAAATAATTATTCTAAAATATGTTAAATTAAACAACACATGGACAGATATGTATAACGAAACAAAAAGATATGTATAACGATATGAATAGCTTGACTGCCCCATGCAAATGCACAAGCAAAATTTCTTTATATATTTATGAAAAAATGAAAAAGATGATGATGGATTGAGGGATGTGCAAGGAAAATAATCTGAAATATTTTGTGGTTTGGAATTGAATAGGGTTTATATGAAGGGCTGAAGGCTTACAGGACAGAAGATGGCCGTATTATGCTATTCCGACCAGACCAAAATGCTCTCCGCCTTCAATCAGGAGCCCACAGACTTTGTATGCCTTACCCCACTGTCGATCAGTTCGTCTCCGCTGTCAAACAAGTTGTTCTTGCGAACCAGAAATGGGTATGTTAAAGCTTTTTCCTAAAAAAAACAAGCAAACTTTGGTCTGTATCTTCTTTTAAATTTTTTAATAAGTGGGCATTGTTATGCGTAATTTTTATGAAAAAATAGTGCTTTATGTGTTTAAGAACTGTTTGTACACCCACAAAACAAGATGTGTGTGTAATCCTTTTTTTTTTTAAAAAATAACTAACAAGATGTGTATATGTATCGTTTATTATCTATTCTATTAAAATAGAGTCATTCTTTTTATCTACTGATACAAGTTGTCATTTAAATTTGGACTCTTTCTAGAGTGTTATAAATAATACAAGTTATATAGTTGATTGAACCGCATTACTTAAATTAAACCGGCGGTTATTTATGGAATAGAGTTTTGGGCTTACTTTTATTTTTATGACATTTAATTATTTGGTTTTTGGGCTTAGTATTAAATAAAAACTCCAAAAAACATTAAATAAACCTTCCACCTTAATGGATCAAAAATCAATTACTATTTTCAGGCCCAAATATATTTAATATTTTCAACAAAACAAAATTATCTATTATTAATCACTTATTTAAATCATGAACTTTAAAACATGTTAATATTTTATGTTAATATTTTTAGCCCAAAAATATTTAATATTTTCAACAAAACAAAATTATCTATTATTAATCACTTATTTAAATCATGTACTTTAAACATGTTAATATTTTTTATTTTAAATAAAAATCACTCTATCTTGATAAATTTCAACGGTAACTTTTAAATAATTTATTGTTTTATTTTTCTAAAATAATTTACAGATTTAAAAAAAATGTAAAGCAAAACCAAAAACCAAAAACCAAATCTAAAAACTAAAATCCAAAACCAAAAGCTGAAAACGCAGGTTATATTTTTGCTTTTTTTATTACAAAATAAACTATTTCAAAATTTTTAGAAATTTATTTTGTCATCTTTTCAGTTTTAAAATACATATTCGATTAATTGAGATTTGTTTGTTGGTAATATCAGTTCAAACTAACTTAGCAGGTCTAAAAATTAAAAACCCAAACCAAAAACTGAAAATCAAAAATAGAAACCTAAAAACTAAAAACCAAAAACCAAAATTTAAAAAAAAATCTAAAAATAAAAACTGAAACTAAAAATTAATGAAAAACAACTATCACCACAAATTTTGGAGAACTGATTTTATCCCAAAACATTCTTTAAATTAAGATAAAACCCAATTACATAAATTTTTAATCATAAAAAATTTCTGCGCTTGAATTATATTTTTTGTTTTTTTTATTACAAAATAAACTATTTCAAAATTTTTAGAAAATTATTTTGTCATCTTCGCAATTTTAAATTACATGTTCGATTAATTGAGATTTGTTTGTTGGTAATATCAGTTCAAACTAACTCAGCGGATCTAAAAATTAAAAACTCAAACCAAAAGCTGAAATCAAAAATAGAAACTTAAAAATTAAAACCCAAAAAATCAAAATCTAAACAAAATCTAAAAATAAAAATTGAAACTAAAAACTAATGAAAAACAATCATCACCACAAATTTTGGTGAACTGATTTTATACCAAAACATTATTTAAATTAAGACAAAACCCCAATTATATAAATTTTTAATCATAAAAAAATTGGGTAATATCAGTTCAAACTAACTCAACGGACCTAAAAATTAAAAACTCAAACCAAAAGCTGAAATCAAAAATAGAAAATTAAAAATTAAAACCCAAAAAATCAAAATCTAAAACAAAATCTAAAAATAAAAATTGAAACTAAAAACTAATGAAAAACAATCATCACCACAAATTTTGGTGAACTGATTTATATCAAAACATTCTTTAAATTAAGACAAAACCCCAATTATCTAAATTTTTAATCATAAAAAATTTCTGCGCTTTTAAGCGCGGGTCAAAATCTAGTATGCCATTAAACGTGGTAATAAACCTTTATAAACGAATGTATTTTTGAAATATGTAATAAATTCTTTTAAATTGGTATATATAGATTCCTCCTCCGGGGAAGGGAACATTGTATATCAGACCTATCTTGTTTGGTAGTGGTCCTATACTTGGCTCGCTTCCGGTCCCCGAATACACTTTCACAGTGTTTGCATGTCCCGTTGGTCGTTTTCACAAGGTAAGATTGTGTTCTTGACATCATTTTTTTTTTGTAACTGGCTTTACCATTTTTCTCATACTAAACGATAATAGCTATTACAATTTTTTCTAACTATTTTTTTTGTTTGGTATAGGATAACGCGGGGCTGAACCTGAAAATTGAAGATAAGTTTCGTCGTGCTTTCCCAAGTGGAACCGGTGGTGTGAAAAGTATCACAAACTATTCTCCTGTAAGTTTGAAAGAAAGAATAAAATACATCTAATACTTTTCTTTGAATATCAAAAATATGCGCGGTGAATAATGTAATCCCTCAGTCAGTCCAAAATTATACATGTAATACTAGTCTTGAATTAATAATGTTTTTTGAGAATGTGAATTAATAATTCCATGGAGATTTTTATTGTTGAAGGTTTGGATAACATTAGCAGAGGCAAAAGCTCAAGGATTCTCTGATGTTTTGTTCTTGGACGCTGCAACTGGAAAAAACGTTGAAGAGCTTTTCGCTTCTAACGTTTTCATTGTCAAGGTAATTAGAAAAACTATTCATATATATAAATGTTTTATCAAGATGTTAAGTATTATAAAGTCGATGTGATTATATTGTGTTGTAGGGAAATGTTGTATCGACTCCAGAAATTTCAGGAACTATATTGCCCGGAGTCACACGAAAAAGTATCATCGAATTAACCCGTGATTTCGGCTACAAGGTTTGAATATTTCAATAGCATATTTAATCCCAGATTGTAAATAATATTCACTATATCTAAGATCCTCATCATTCTAATAGGTTGAGGAACGTGTTGTACCTGTTGAGGATCTTCTTGATGCGGAAGAAGTTTTCTGCACTGGCACTGCTGCAATTGTGACAACTATTGCGTCCGTAACCTTCAAGGACATAAAGTAATCTTTTATCCCTTGTGCAATTTTTCCTTTTGACAAATATGTACACAATACTATAGAACAAGTGCACAACTCGAGTATGTATATATCTTGTCTTACTTTCACATATATTGACTAAAGAATTGGGCCACGTACAGAACCGGATTCAAAACAGGAGATAAAACATTGGCTGCGAAGCTCTTTGCGACGTTAACGGATATCCAGACAGGTAGGGTCAAGGACAATAAGGGGTGGACGGTGGAGTTGACTGATGCCACCACACCAGGGTCAACTTTGACGTTGTAACTTGATAAATTATATAAGAAACATCATAAGATGTCTCAAGATCTTTGTGTTTATCATGTTATATCATGTTCTTGTATTATAGAAAGTTGATAAGCAACATTATAAATAAACTCTCATGGTGTTGTGTGATCCTTGCAGACTTATTAGAACAGCGGGAATACTCGGGACGTAATTTATACATTTTTAGGTATAATACAATAATTTTATATATTATATAACATTAATATGTATTTCTATGTATTATATAACATTAACATATATATAATATATTATTTTTAAGGTTCATAGATACCAAACTATAGATTATAAACATAATTATAGAAACCAAAACGGTTTGAAATCCTGCAATTTCTCGCCACGATTCTTGTGGTTGATGATGATTTTCGATAAAAAAAGGTTTTTATCACTTGATACTACCCACGATGTCCATTATCCCCACGAAGGAACCCACTTTTCCTCGTGATGTAGTAGTTACAGAGAAGTTTACAAAAAGTAGAATCTATAAAAGTCTGATCCCTAGGCTCGGATGATTATCATATTTTATCTACTTCTCTCTTCCTACTGTTGAATTTCTGTTGGAGATTTAGTTTTTTTCTGGGGAAAATAGCGGAGGGGATTCATAGAGGTTATGCAAGATATTGATTTGGGTTACTTAGAGGCCCCTATTGTTCTTCCAACTGAAGTGGTGGGGGCAAGCAGAGGAAGAGAATCGTTTCATCATCATTGGGAGACCAGTAATCCCTCGCCGGCAAAATTTACGTGCGATTGTGGCCACTATGCCTCGCAATTGGGCCTTTGAGGACATTGTCCGTGGACGAATCATTGAAGGGGAGAGGTTCCAATTCGTGTTTCCATCGGAGGAGGCAATGGAGATGGTTCTCAGAAGAGGGCCATAGGATTTTGCGGAGAGGATGCTGGTGCTGCAGAGATGGACTCCATTGATGGACATGGATATGCTCAATTGCATTCCTTTTTGGATTCAAGTTCGTGGAATCCCATTCCAGTACATGAACCGTGAGGTGACTGTCCACATAGCAAGAGCTCTGGGGCAATATATTCAGATGGATTACAATGAAGAAGTTGGAGAAGATTGGAGTTTGTAAGGATCAGACTCAACTGGATTGTGGCGCAGCCGGTGTGTTTCCAGAGACAATTCCAGTTCTCTGGGGCTAATATTCTTCTCAAACTGCATTTTGAGAGATTACGTGGACTTTGTGAAGTGTGTGGTCTGATTACACATGACACAGGGGTTTGTGTGATTAACAACGGGGTCCTGAACCTCATGGAGGAGATGATGAGAGTGATGATGATCATGCTGACGATATGTTGGTGCCAAATCATGGAGTGATAATCGAGGAAATTCATGAAGAGGACGATCCTCAAGTTGCTGCTAAACATGACCTAGTACAAGAAGAATATGAAATACAAGTTGAAACTATTGAGAAGGAAGCTGATGATGAGGAACGCTGGACCGGTGAAGCAAGACAAACAATGTTTTCTGAAGATTATGAGAGGGCTGCTATGTTTCTTGATGGGAATGATTAAAAAAAACAAAAGAAAGATTTGGTTTTCAGAAGCTAATACGAATGTGGCTAAGTTTGGATGTTTGGAAAAAGGTGAAGCTAGTGGTAGCAATGGAGGCAAGCGTAGGAGAAGCAATTCACCACAGATTAGCACTGAAGATGCTACCAATGTAACCAATGAGAATCAGAGAGGCGCGGTGGGCCTAGAACCAGCAATGCCACCATGAGGAAAGCCTGTTGGAATTGTCGAGGTTTGGGCATAGACTCGACAGTTCGACGCCTCAAGGAGATCAACATGATGTATCTCCCAGACATTCTATGCCTTTCAGAAACCAGCAAGAAGATGATTACGTGAGGGAAGTGAGTGCACAGCTTGGGATTTTGAATTATGTTATTGTAACACCTCAGGGTGTGGGTGGTGATTTGGTTTTATTTTCTAAGCAGCATGTTTAATTATCTATTTTAAGTCAGTCAGCTAATCTCATAGACTGTAATGTTAACATTAATGAAATTCAGTTCTTCTACTCCATCGTGTATGGTCACCCTAGCTCTGCTCAAAGGAATATATTTGGGAGAAGTTATCACGGTTGAGTTTACAGAGGAGAAATCAACCTTGGTTTGCCCATGGATATTTTAATGAAATCAGAGGTAATCATGAAAAAGATGGAGGAAGGACTAGACCCGAAGTTTCGTTTCAGGATTTCAGACAGATGATGAGAAATTGTGATTTTGTGGATTTTCTAACAATTGGTAACAAGTTTTCTTGGGTTGGTCAAAGAGGAAATTATCTAGTACAGTGTTGCTTAAATCGCACAATGACATCTTCTCAATGGTTTGATATGTTCCCAATGTCTCAAACAGAGTTTCTTGAAGTAGGGGAGTCAGATCACAGACCTTTGATCACTTACATCAGCTCAGACAGAGAGACTCCAAGACGCATGTTTCGGTTTGATAGTCGTCTGATCAACAAAGAGGGTTTCAAAGAATCTGTTCATCGGGGATGGAATGGAACATGTTAGTCAAGTTTCCTGAATGTATCATTAGAACAAAGATTAAGTCGATGCCGTCAACAGAAATCAACTTGGAAAAGACATAACCGTAGTAACACTGAAGAGAGGATTGGATTATTGAGAAGCAAACTTGATAAAGCTATGGTTGATAATTCTATGTCTTCTTTGGCAAGAAATGATATCAAGGAAGAACTGAATTTGGCTTACCTAGAAGAGGAGATCTACTGGAAACAGAAAAGTAGAGTTATGTGGCTGAGAGCTGGGGACCGAAATACTAAATATTTCCATGCAGTCACTAAAGCTATAAGAAAAAGAAATACCATAAGGCTTATTCAGGACGATCAAGGTGTAGTATACAGAAGTCATAAAGATATTGCAAGGTAGCCACAAAGTATTTTCAAAAATTATATGCCTCTGAAAGCGCTGATCATGGGCTTTATAATACGGTTTTCTCTAATTTTGAGAGGAGAGTTACAACTGAAATGAATCAGGATCTGACAAGGGAGATCTCAGACGAAGAAATCATAGAAGCTTTGATAGATATTGGTCCTCACAAAGCGCCTGGACCAGAGGGATTTACAGCAGTATTCTATCAAAAATTATGGGAGGATATCAAACCAGAGATAGTGAAGGAAATCAAAACTTTCTTTGAGCATGGGGTGTTGGATTCACAGATTAATCATACTAATCAATGCTTGATTCCGAAGGTCTATCCACCTACTGGTATGAAAGAATTTAGATCCATTGCACTTTGCAATGTATCTTATAAGATCATCTCTAAGATACTAGTGAATCGGTTGAAGAAACATTTGGACTCCATTATTTCAGAAAATCAAAATGCTTTTATTCCAGGGAGGATGATCTCAAATAATATAGTCGTTGCTCATGAGGTTTTTCATAGTCTAAAAGCTAGGAAGAGGCAAGTTACTTCTTATATGGCTATTAAAACAAATATTACAAAAGCTTATGATCGGTTGGAATGGAGATTATTGGAGGAAACCGTGAGGCATGTGGGTTTTGATAACAAGTGGATTCACTGGATTATGACGTGTATCACAACTGTGAGATATTCAGTTTTGATCAGTGGAGCTCCAGAAGGTTTTATCACCCCGGAAAGAGGACTCCGCCAAGAAGATCCGCTCTCTCCCTATATGTTTATATTGTGTTCTGAGGTATTATCGCATTTGATGCATAAAGCGAAGGAAGATAGATCTCTGTTGGGTATTAAAATTTCACTACAAGATCCATCTGTGAATCATTTACTGTTTGGTGATGATTCACTCTTCTTCTCTCTTGCTAATCTGAAAGCTGCAGAGAAATTAAAGGCAATCTTTCAAGTATATGAAGATGTGTCGGGTCAGGCTATTAATCTCAACAAATCATCTATCACGTTTGGTAAACTTATGTTTGAAGGAAGAAAAACACGGATGAAGAACATATTAGGGATTCATAATGAGGGAGGGATTGGCAAGTATTTGGGACTGCCTGAGCAGTTTGGATCCAAAAAATTGAAATTTTCACCTATATTATTGAGAAGGCCAAAAGTGTTACACATAGTTGGAAACATAAGCATTTATCGCCTGAAGGTAAAAAAGTATTGTTGAAAGCTGTGGCTTTAGCAATGCCTATATATTCTATGAATATATTCAGGCTACCAAAGAAGGTTTGTGAAGAAATAAATAGTATCATGGCTCAATTTTGGTGGGGATCTGGAGACAAGAAAGGAAAGTGAGTGTGTATTCCAAAGAGAGAAGGGGATTATGATTTCATGATCTGGAAGTGTTCAATCAAGCTCTGTTAAGTAAACAAGTATGGAGGATAATGCAAAAACCTAACTGTCTTATGGCCAGGGTATTATGAGCAAGGTATTTCCCTGAAGGTGATATTTTAAAAGCGACTCTGAAAATGAAAGCTTCATATGCCTGGAAATCAATTCTATGTGGTAGGGATTTGCTAAAAAAAGACTAAGATATGTCACTGGTAATGGTACTATGGTAGATATGTGGGAAAACCCATGGATCCCAAACCATCCTCCTCGTGCTCCAAGACCAAAAGGAGTGGTTGTTGCTGGTACCAAAGTAGAGCAGTTTTTCTCTAGTGATCGAAATTCTTGGGATGTAGAGAGCTTCGAGAAGTGGTAGTTGCATAAGATGTAGAAATGATCATGACCCTCAAGATTAGTTCTAAAGCTAATCAAGATCTGTTAGGATGGAATTACAATGATGATGGTATATACACAGTCAAATCAGGTATTGGTTGGGTACTCATTTACCTGATATAGTACATCAGATACCGACTTATGGGGATGTAAGATTAAAAGCAAAATATGGAAAACCAATCTTCCAGCCAAGTTGAAACATTTTTTATGGAGATTGGTTTCAAAAAGTTTAGCTACGGGGAGCAATTTAAAAAGGAGACATGTGATGAGGGATTCTCAGTGTAGACGTTGTTGTATGGCTGAGGAAACTGCGATGCATATATTCTTTGAATGTCCTTATGATAAAGCTTTATGGAGAGCCTCAGGTATACCTTCTCAAGTAATTATAGGCCTGAATGGAATTTTGGAAGAAAATATTTTAGCTTGTTTACAGCTATGTACACCAACAAGATTCCACCATCTGCAACAACTATCTTTGTGGATCTTATGGAGGCTATGGAAGAGTCGGAATGTTCTTATCTTTCAACAAAAAAACGGCTTATTGGAGGACTTTACTGCAATATGCTAAGGATGATGCAAAGGAAGAAGACGATGTTACTAAGGCAGTAAGCCAACGAAGAGATAGTATGGGATCACAAGCACATTTGTGTAAATGGACAAGGCCACCACAAACATGGATAAAATGCAACATTTATGGTTCTTATGTCAATGATAATATACCGGGGAAAGCTGGATGGGTTTTTTTCGTGATGACAATGGTAATTACAGAGGAGCTGTTCAAGCAGTTGGAAAACCG